TTTTTGGCGGTAACCATAATGGTGGTCGAGTAGATCATGTTGTGCGGGGTGGAGAACCCTCGCTCCGCGCAAGGGGGATGGTCGCACCACGTTGTGTTAATATGGTAAACACCCTCGAGGCAGTTACACAGTGATTACAACTGTCAGGAAGTGAACGCGCCAGAAAATACAGTAAGTCATGCGCAGCTGTCATCTGTACGCAAGGAAGTAAGCACAAGATGCCGAACACCCTTAGCAGGATGCAGCGCACCCTTCATGCGACTCGCCGAATATCTCACGGCGCTTCGCGCTTGGTGATGTGAGAGCCTGGTCCGGTGAGAACCCGGCGTGCTCCGTCCCGGCTTTGTAGGGATGCGAGGTCAATGGTCTAACGACTACGGCGTGCACGACTTTGAGTACACCCCCCCCCCCCCCCCCCCCTGAGATAATGTCGTCCCTCCTCGCTGGTAACGACCGCGGGCGACGTCTCTCTCCATTTCATCAACCTCTCGGTGATTTTTTGTTTTTTGCCGGCCAGCCACACCAACGCCCCTACCCTTTCTGGCTGCAGGCTCCATGCGGATGCGGGCTTTATGGACTTCGCAGGTCTGGGCGACCGGCGGTAACCGGCCTTTTCCCCTCACGTACGTTTTTGTTGTGCTCTCTCCGCCTGGTCCAAATTTCTCTCCGAGATTCGATGGCCGGACAGGAAATTTTCTCGCGAGTCTTTTTTGCCGGCCCCCCCAAAGGGCCTTGTACGTGTATTTCTATCCTTTCATCTACCCATTGATATAGAGCCACTCAGAAAACACCATCGGCGCCGCAAAACAAATATGACTTTTAGGGGTGTCAATCGGGCAGATTTTGGAGCCAAAAATGTGACCGGTCTATTCAGCGATGTTGGGGGGGGCACACGGATTGGGTTCTTTTTCGGCTCTTGTAAGTGCCCGCCTTTTACACTGATTAAAACACTGCATCCCTCAGTTTGTTTGTGCAGGTACATTAGGTGGCCCGATATAGTGGCATAAAGTGGCAAGAGGACAATATGCCACTATTCAAGGCAGTTGCCACTATCCGATATAGTGGCAAAAGTGCCACTACTGGCCGGCAATAGTTGCACTTTTGCCACTATATCGGATGAGAAGCTTTTATATTCACGATATCGACTGCATTTCATTGGATGTACACTCATGTGCGCTGTATACGTATGCACTCCTCGTGGTTTAGCATTTGTGTGCAGCAGTATCCGCATGAACTGCTTCAAACGACACTTGATTGTCCAAGGGTCCGGGCCTTCTGTGGTCAAATCCCATTTTTCTTTGCAAACAGACTGCAGGAACCACGGTACGTCCAAACGGTTTGTAGCCACGTGTTCACAGTTCTGGGTCCGCGCAGGTTTGCATGATACATGTGGCGGCCACTGCTGATCGGTGTGTGGGCAGGTGTGGTACAGCAGTGGAGGGGGCTCGCTACTTGGAACTGCCACTATTGGGTGTGTGGAATGTCCAAAATGCCACTATTGAGGGCCCCGCTCGCAATAGTGGGAAAGTGCCACTATATCGGTTTGAGATTTGCCAAGAGAATTTCATCCCACTATACCGGGCAGTTCACTATTCAGGTTGCCACTATATCGGGCCACCTACTGTAGTTCTGCGCCCAGGCAGCAGCGTGGCTCTTCATACGTTACACACGTCTGGACGCAAGTCCTATAGAGGCAACTGTAAGCTCGGTCTTCTGTTCAAGGTAAAGGGCGAACGAACAACACCAAAAAACAGGTTTTTTTTAGCTCTTTGCTCCACGCCCGAGGCGACCTTTGCTCCTCTCGAAGAAGCGACCTGCCCCCTCTGCCTTGTGTTTACAGCTATACCACACAACAAACCGCATCCGAAACCACGAGATCTACATGTCTGAAAACTGCCCCTCCAGTGGGGCTGCAGCGCCCACACCAGTAGACCCTCCCAAAAAAATACATCGAGTTCCGCGCCATTCGGCAGCAGGAGGCGCGCTGCGCGAAAGCTGAATCAGAACAAAACGAGGTTTAAAGAGAGGACGGGGTAGTGTATGGTTGCCGCGTCGGCAGACGATAACACTCGGCGCGCTATCGAACGCGGCAGCCTCACCGTTGTAGAGAAAACGCTGGAAGAAACGAAAGAGTTGGTCAAAAGTAAGAAAATTGTGGAAGAGAGCCAGGCTCAACCTCGCTGCCGCCGCCGCCGCTGCTGCTGCTGCTGTTTTTTTCAGCAGCAGCAGCGGCGGCGGCAGCGGCGGCAGGTGTCTGCGTGGCTTAACCACCCGGCTGCTGCTCGGGTGTGTCATGAGGCATGTGTTCTAGAGTGGGATCGTGCAAAGGTGTTGTGTTGTGTCCCACAGCAGGGCACATCAGAGCACGCACACGAGCGGCGCCCTCGCGCGTGCGCGTCAGGTGTTTTTAGGGAGCTTTCGGACCGTTCCGTGCAATTTTTTTGGTCAGTCGATTTTCCATCAGGAAGATCCGAGGTCACTTT